TTCTTTCTTTCTTTTTTTCTTTCAATTTGTCTGGAGAGACTTTTCTTTGAAGGAACTTGAGGGATTTGAAGAAAGGTAAACATCATCAAGTGTTGCTGTAGATTTGTGAGGAATTTAAAACAACAGGAACTCGGGAGTCCAGAGCTAATAGCTGGCAATGGAACAAGCTGAGGGCCTCCTGGTGCAGGACGGCCTGGAGACTGACAAGTGGTGTTTCCTGGCCCCTTTTACAGTTGCTTCCAAAAACCCCACATTACTATTCACTATTTTATGCACAGGGCATTTCTGAAGCCCAAGTCACAATTGAAAATTTGTTCTCAAAACCACTTGAGTGGAATTTCCTATATCTTGCTCTCAAAATTTAATGGCAAATGTGGACCAGCCCTGTGAGATTGGCTCAGCAAGGACTTGACTGGCTTTCTTTACAAGAATTAGTGCTTCAGAGAGACAAGGTGATAAAAGAACCGGGAACCGGCCAGAGTCTGCGGTCACTGGGCACGGGCCAGGCCTCCTCAGGGTGGCTCTCATCCGAAATTCCTGCAGTCAGTCGAGGGGGAAGTGTGACTGTCTTAATTTCAAATTCGGGAGAAGCTGGCTTAGTCGTAAGATTTCTGTTCAGGAAAACAGGAGATACTTAGTTAGATTTGACTTTGAGGCCTCAGGACAAGCGGAGAGCGCGGCATCGAGATGGATTTGGCAGAGGGCGGCTGCGAATGAACGACCCGCGTAGCTGCCGTCCAAGGGTTTTCATTCTGCTCAGTGTGGTGAGTCCAGGGATGTTTCTGAAAAGTAGCAAACAAGCAAAACCCACTTGATTCTGCCCATTTAAATGAAATTCTACGAACGCCAACATGTTCCCACTCTTCCTGCCATCTTCTTTGGAACCTCTGCCCTGTCGATGTGATACGGATAACATGACACCCACCCCTACAGAATTTAACGAGCATCTTCTGAGAGTGATGCCTGAGGCTGGAGGATTCGGGGCCTTCTCCAGAGCCCAGAGACAAGCCGAGGCTGCAGTTGTCATGGGGGGGAAGGGCAAAGGGGGCTTCAGTACAGGCACAGAGGCCAAGGCCCTTAGAAGGTGATGAGGAGCCAAGATGTCTCTTCCCCCCCCAACATAAAGCCAGTGAAAGGCTGAGCCTGGGAGGAAACAGTCTGTTCACTGGCCTAGGGAGGTGCTGGGGACGCTTGTCTGCCTTGGCCTGGGCCCCGAATCGCGCTTCCTCTGAGGGCGAGAGGTCCCAAGGCCCTGCCTCACATGAGTCTGAAGTGCAGATTTCCTCAGCAACCTTGGTCTAGTAACCCCCAAGCCAAGAAGTTAGAAAATAAACAATTAAGCAAATCCAAAAAGGATAAATACAGAAATTAAAAAGTACAAAATGAGCAACAACAGAAGCCAAAGCCAAGATACAGTGGAGAGAAACAGCAAACCTGAAGTTTATTTTTAATAGAGTAATAAAATCAACAAATCTCTGCAAACACTAATGAAAAAAAAATCAATAAAGACAGCACAAATTGATATAATAATATTTGGAATGCAAGTGGGACTTAACAGGTACAGTGAATATCTGAAAACAATAACACAGTACTTTGAATGACTTTATGGTATAAGTCTGAAAATTTAAACAAAATAGATAACTTCCTAAAAACATAACACTGACACTAAAGCAAGAAAAATTTTAAAACATGAATAGATCTACAACGAATAAATAAATTGACTCAATAATAACAAAGCTACCAAAAAGAGAGAAAGAGAGAGGAAGGGAAAGAGGGAAGGGCCAGACTCAATGTCTTTTTCACGTTCACCAAAAATATATTGAAGGGAGAATAAAAATTGGATTTAACCCGCTAATTTTTATTTCAGGAACTTTGTATTATGATCAATCATATGATCACTAACATATTATGTGGTATCATGACCTAGTTGTGTTTAGTTCATGTATTGAAGGATAATCTATCATTAGAAAATAAACAAATGTGTAGTAAAAGAAAAATAGCCATTGGAAAAATAAATACCAAATTTAGGCCCAGCCGGCGTGGTTCAGCGGTTGAGCATCGACCTAGGATCCAGGAGATCGAGGTTTGATTCCCGGTCAGGGCACATGGCCGGGTTGTGGGCTCGATCCCCATTAGGGGGCGTGTGGGAGGCAGCCGATCAATGACCCTCTCTCATCATTGATGTTTTGCTCTCTCTCCCTCTCCCTTCCTCTCTCTGAAATCAAGAAAAAAATACACAACATATTAAGCACCAAGGCTATACAGGACCAAGGCTTCAAAGAGTCTGTAATGTTTTATTTCTTAGGCTAAGTAGTGGGTACCAGGGTGTTCTTAAACTTTTGTATATCTGAGGTAGTTCATACTAATAAAAAATTACACATTAAGGTGATTGATTACATTTACAGTTTAAAAGAGAAAACTTACATGTTCACATCACTAGATGCAGAAAGTATTTAATAACATTAAACATTCATACGTAGCTTGAAAAGGCTCATCAAACTTCGAATATAACTGAACACCCTTAAAGCGATTAAGGGTATCAACCAAAACTACAGTAAACGTTTTAAAGGTGAAATGTTAGAGGCAATAAGACAAGAATGAAATGTTTTGTTTTCTTTCCTTTTACATATTTAATCATCTGAGCATAAAAGTTAAATAGAAAGAGCTAAGTTGTAAGAGTTAAGCAAAATAAAATGAAACCAAATATTCTAAACCAGGCACTATATACACCATTTTTCATGTCATGCTGAAGCACTGTACTTGGAAGTCCTAGTGGACAGAAACTTGTTTTTTAAATTAATGAGGATTTGAAAAAAAATGAAAAACATCTATTATTACTTGCAGACAATTTGATTGCATATATAGAACATCCAAGAGCATTTAATGATAAGCAGAACCAAAAGGATGTTCGGAAAATTATTTGGTACATAATCTATATATGAAATGAATCACCTTCCTATACATCAAAGCCAACAGTTGGAAAATGCAATTTTACAATAATTGCATTTACAACAAAATTTTTAAATTTATTTTAATCAAATTTATTTCCTGTTAAAATTTGAGAAGGGCCTTTGGCAGAATTTTACAAGCTGGGTCTAAAATGTATGTATAACAGCAAATGACCGAGAACAGACAAGTCTATTTTGGGAAAGGACAAGATGGAAGGGTCTTGTTCTGTCTAGATGCCGAAATTTCTTGAGCTGTAGTAATTAAACAGTGTAGTTTGGCCATACATATAGTCAAGTAGACAAATGTGTTTAACCAATAGCCCAGAAAAAGACACATTAATATGTGGAAACATATTATATAACAGAATTATAATAGCAGACCTTGCATGGTTAACCATATTAAAAATAAATTAAAAATAGCTCCATATCTTATACTTTACACAAAATGAAATCAACCTAAATGTGAAAAGCAAAGCTTTAAAACTTTCATAAGAACCTATAGGAAGATATTCCTGTGGTTTTAGGTAAAATGGATTTTCTTTAAGAAAACACAGAAATACAACTCATAAGAGAGGAAGCCAATAATACAATTATATTGAAATTTAAAACTTTCATTTACCAAAAAGAACACCACAGAGTGAAAAATATGACATAGATTGGGAGAAAATAGGTTCACTGCGTAAAACTAATAAAGGGCTCGCACCCAGACTGGACAGGGCAGCCTGCGGAGGAGCAGGGAGGAGGGCTGTGAGCTTCCCCGCGAACATGGGCAGAATCGTGAACATGCAGAATCGTGAACATGCAGTTCGCAGGCGAGGGGCCCGAAGAGCCCGAATGCAGACACAGAGAAGACCAGCCACTCTAGTAATCGTGAAAATGCAGATTAGAGCTGTTTGAGACCCGACTGACGAAATTGAAGTGTCTGTAGCATACCGAGCGACAGTGATGTGGGGAAGCAGGAACTGATGGGTCACTGATGAGAATGGAAACCTGTAGCAGCAAAGGTGAAAAGCCCTCTGTCCCTCAGCAGCAGGCATGGCTAAATGAACGGTAACCTACCCCTTTGCTGAAACACTATATACCCGTGAACATTGATGAACCGGAGCCACGTGAAGCAATACGCACAATCCCAACGATATAACGTGAGGGGAAACGAGCTGCAGTTCCGCGCAGCGCAGGAACATTGCCCCAAAGCGCAGGCGTGCAGAACGCCACACCCTGTCTCAGTTCCCTCCCTGCGAGGGGTGACCCTCGGGAAACGTGGGCGAGTGCTCCCGGCCACGTGCGGTTAGTGCTCA